AGAAATTAAAAAAGTGAAAAAAATGTAAAAAAAAAAAAAAAAAAAAAACTGATTTATGAAAGCTATGCAGATTTAATTATAATATAATTTTTGCATAATATTGCTTAATACTTAAGTTTCATCATACAATATTTATATTGGATATTCTGTATATCCAAAAAATAAATCGAAATTTATATAAAATTTACTTACACATGATGTACTGCTTAATATATCATCCACATCTTCAATTTCTTCACTTATATCCTCACTATGAGCACTATGAGCACTATGAATTTTATCTTGTTTTTTTGTTTGTAGTTTTGGACTATTTGATTTTTGAGGATCCTTAGAAGGACTTTGATCATATGTACTACCAGATGCAGATGAGACAAAATCTTCTTCATAATTATCTATCCCATCAGTTCCTAAAAATATTATGTTTATAAAATTAATATTATTAAAAATATATTATAAACATATACATCAACATACCAAGTCCAATATCCATTAATTCTTTCAAATCATTAATATTAGTTTTTTTACCATTTAATGGTGGAAGATTGCTAAGTATAGAATGTGATTTTTTATCTAAGGGTGGTAAATCTTGTAAAAAGGTGTCATTATTATGTATATCATTAATATTCTCTCTTTTTCCATCAACAATAATTTCTTCAAAGTATACAGTTTTTCCAAAACTGTTTCCAGTATTAACTGGTTTTTTGTTTTGTACATTATTTACTATTTGTAATTCCAAACTATTTATATTATTTTGCTTATTTATATCTTCATTTTGATTTGTTTGCATTTCAGTAATTATAGATTCATCAAACTTAATTAAAGGCTCGGTTTTATTTAGTAAACTTGTTTGAATGAGTGTATCTATCTCAGTCTCCTTTGTAGTATGATTCATCATTGTGCCATTTGGACTTGTAGGGAGTGGAGTATCAAAATTCATACTATTGTTCCCTTTGCTATCAATTCCATTGTTTTCTTCATTATATTCAGAAGTTGTACTATTTTTGAGAGAATCTTGCTTCTCATAATTTAATTCATCTAATGAAACATGAACAGATGTTTCTTTATTTTTTTTTTCAGTTATTGTCACATTTATTGGAAGTTTTGGACTTTGTTGTGAAACACTTTCTAAATTATCCGATACATCATTATCATTTGACAATGATGTAGATTCATTGTTTAATACTTTTGGAATGGAAATTTCAAATGTTGTGTTAGTAATATTTGTTTCAGTTATATCATTTTTACTAAATTTTTTGTCAATATCATTCTAAAAAAATATTTATAATTATAATAAATGTAATAATTATTTTTTCAATTATTTATAATAATTTATCTCTTAACTATAACATTTTATATTATTTTAATAATATAATATTATATTATTTTACTCTAAATACCTTTTGCGTATTTTTGAAGGCACTATGCATGCTATTTTTTAAAATTTCTCCAAGCAATGGCTCATTGGATTCAATACCTAATTCTTCGCATAATTTATTTCTTCCAATATAATTATATTCTTTTCCAAAGTATGTTTCTGGATCATATACAGATATTGTATAATCAAGACCAAAATATTCTAGGAACTCCCTAACCAAGGAAAACAATAATTTTCCTTCTGAATTAGCCAGGTACTGTTTAACGGTTTTATTGAGAAGTGGTTCTGGATTCTGAAATATTTTTATAAATTATATAAATATTTTTTAAATTATATTTTTATAAATATTATTTATTATTTTATATTAATATTATAATAATAATTTATAATAATATGAATTATTATTTATAAATATAAATAAAAATTTAAACAGTTTGTATTTATTGGATTTTTTCATCATATTATTATTTTTTGCATTTAATTACTAAAATATAAAAATATATGATTATATATAAATACATAAAATATATAAATATAGAATATTTCTGCATTTTAATAAAATATATTTTCAAATATATAAAAAAACATATAAAAAAATTTATATTTATTTAATATTGAGAAAATTTAATATTAAGAATTTTGACATACCATTACGGATTCTTGTTCTTCTAGAGCTAAGAACACACTTGCCCTGAGTTCTGCCTATATAATTATAAAATATTTTAAAAATCAATATCATAAAATAATTATATTTATGTTTTATATAAATTTAATGACAAAATTAATTTGACGTGATCTACATAACCTATGAAAAAAATATAATTTTTAAAAAAATTTTCTATCATACCCGCACTTTTGCAAGAACACCATTATTTTCAAGGGTTTGCACCACTAAATCCCGTAATTCTGTGTCTTCCTCCATAGAAATGTTTCCGTCTATCATGATTATAAATAAAAATTATTCTCATAAACACTCAAGAAATGTAAATATTTACGCTTTCCATCGCGTGTCTTCTTTTCATCTGTTTACCTAGAGATTATTTTTTCTGTCTAGGGAATTTAAACTTAGAAACTGAAAAAAAATTTATTCCTATTTAATTATTGTTATAACTATTTATTAATTTTTATATAATAATTTACATAAAATTAAAATAAAATATATTTATACAGTAAACATTACAAGATAAGTAAAATATAATTAAATAATAAATAAAATTACTTTAATACTTTATTTAATATTTTACTTGGATATATTATAAATTTACAAATATCACCCTTTTTTAAATTTTTTAAATTTAAAAAAAATTAAAATTAAATTTCTAAAAAAATATTTTATATAATTATGTTTTATTTATTATTAATTAAATAAAAAAATATTTTTAGAAAATACTTTTTTAATAACATTCGAATGTGAAATATTAAAATTTGCAATTAAAATACCGGAAGTAAATATTATAAATTTAAATACATATTATTTAAAAATAATAAATAATCACAATTTCTTTTTACATCGTGTAATTAATACAATAAAATATTGAAACTTTATATATACACAATATTTTTATTAATCTTTATTATAACATTTTATCAAAATCGAAATTTGAATAACAGTAAAATTCATTTGCAAGATTATTTTGATGATGAGGTACAAAACAACAAACTTCTACATTTAATAATCTTTTTGCTAATTCACTCATAATAGAACCTGCAAAATAAAAATAATTAAAAACTTTAATTAATATATAAAAAAAAAATTATTAAAAATACCTGTACAAAGTACATAATTTTTTTTAGCTAAAAATTTTATTGTAAGAGCAGTTTTTGTTAAACATTCATCAGAAAGAAATGGTGGATCGGCTATAACCAAATCATAAAAATTTGACATATGTTTAGGTATATCCAAAGGGAACTTATAGTTATATGGTACAAAATCAAGTCCATATATTTTAAAACGTTCATCATATTCAAAAAGAGTAACTGTAAATAAATATTTAATAATACTATTAGTAATAATATTTTAAATAATGCATAAATTATTAAAATACAAATATTTCCATACCTTGTCGTTCTTCACAATTTTTTTTTAATTTGTTATAAAGTGTAGGACATGAAATTAAAGCAATTTTTCCATTAGATTCTGTACTTCGTATAATACCTTTTACAAGAGTATCTATTGTCTTATCATCATACCAAAATTGACTTAATTGCTAAAAATTCAAATATGTAAATTATTAAATTAATAATTAATTTTAAAATATAAAATAATTCAATATATAAAATAAATAGATGAGAATAAATAATTTCTTTTGCAAAACACTTAATATGTCAAATTTAAGTAAATTAGTAAAATATATATTTAAGAAATATATTTAATAAGAGTTTTAATTTACCCAATTTTCATCAAAAGAAATTTCTAAATCTTTATTTTCTAAACTACATTTTAATTGGTTTTCTCTTTCTTGTTTTTCTTTAAGAAACTCATTTAAAGCAGCAAGTGTTGTAGGACATAATTGTAAATCATCATCATCATCATTATTTTTATACATCTTTCATCATATTAATTTTTTATTAACTAAAACACATTAAATTTATATTATTTTTTAATAATATATTTATTTTATATATAAACTTTATAAAAAAAGATTAGAATTATCAATTTATTATTTAAAAAATATATAATTTATAAACAATACTTTATATTTGTTAAAAATTTTACTGTAATTGATAATTTATTTATGTAACTGTAAATAAATATTATAATATTTTAAATTAATTTATTATATTTGTATTAATGTATTATATTTATCATTTAATTATAGAATAATTCGATATTTCATGTTTGTTCAAATTCATATTATCAATATCAATATCAATTTATTAAAAAATGAAAAGGTTTGATCTTAATCTTAATCTTTATAGGTTGTAAAAGATAAAAATAAAAATCAATCAATATATAAAGCTTAAAATTTAGAAAAAGTATGTAATAATCTTCGTAATAAAATAAAGATTAGGATTTCTTATCGCATTATTGCAATAATTAAATTTATACATTTACCAAGTTTACTTACTTTTGTACATTACTTTTGTACTCCTGGTTAAGACAGGAATTATCTAATTACATATTAAAGAAAAGAAAAAAAGAAATAATCATGGATGTAAAAGATGACATACAATTATTTGAATCTATTGGTTTAAGTGAACAAAAAGCTAAGGAAACTCTAAAAAATAAACAAGTTTCTAATAATTTGAAACTTGCTATAATAGAGGTTAGTAAATTATATAAATATATAACAACAAATATATTTTAAATTATTTTTTTTAATATTAGTAATATAATCAAAATTTCTTTGTTTATATTTAAAATTAATTAAATTTAAATTTAAATTTTTTTATTTGCATTTTAATTTCATCATTTAATTTTATTAATCTGTAATATTTAATTATGCCATGTGTAATATTTATAGGCTAATAAGTATGGAGTTATTACACCAGAAATTGGAATTTTGTTATATCATCTTGCTTCAAAAATTAAGAATCAAATTGCAGATAAATTGTCATTTCTTGCTAAATATATAGCTGAAAAGAAATTAGATACAATTCAAAGACTAGATGCTGGTTTAAATTACTTGCTTAATCATATAAAAGGAAATATTGATATATCTGATTTTGAAAAAGAATGTGGTATAAATATTATTGTATCACCAGAAGAAATAGAATATGAAGTAGAAAAAGTAATAAATGCACATAAAATAGAAATAACAGAGAAAAGGTATTTATTATATTAATATTAGTACTTAATATTTTACGTTTTATTATATATATATATTATATATATATAAATAATTTTTATAGATATCATTTTAATATTGGTCCATTGATGCAACAAGTACGTAATATTTTAAAATGGGCAGATGGAAAAGCAATAAAAAATGAATTTGATATTCAAATGCTTGATTTGTTAGGTCCAAAATGTGAGTCTGATCTTGTACCATTAAATAAATCAACAAAACAAGCAAAAATGCGAAAACCAGTGAAAGAAAAAAGTAAATCAAATAATTCTTATATTTATACAGAACTTATGCATTATAATTTATTAAAAAAATATTTATATATTATTTAGTGGAATCAAAAAATATAACAATAACAAATGATAAAGAAGATGCTCAGACAATAAATGAATTAATGAAAAGTAAAGTTAATTTTCATAAACCAGGAGAAAATTATAAAACTGAAGGATATATTATAACACCAAATACACACAAATTACTTCAAGAACATTTAAAAATAACAGGTGGTAAGGTAATAACTAGATTTCCACCAGAACCTAATGGAATTTTACATATTGGTCATGCAAAAGCAATTAATATTAATTTTGGGTATGTTCTTATATGAGTTTTAATTATTATTTTTAATTTATATTATATTCCAAATAATATTTCTTATTTATTTATTTATAATTTAATGTATAATAATATAATTTAGATATGCAGCAGCTTATGATGGAATCTGTTATTTACGCTATGATGATACAAATCCTGAAAAAGAAGAAGAAAAATTTTTTATTGGTATTCGTGAAATGGTAGAATGGCTTGGTTATAAACCAGCTAAAATTACTCATTCTTCTGATTATTTTCAAGAGTTGTATGAATGGGCTGTTATGCTTATTGAAAAAGATTTAGCATATGTCTGTCACCAATCTAGTGAAGACATAAAAGGTTTCAATCCACCTCCAAGTCCCTGGCGAAATAGACCAATTTCAGAAAGTTTACAATTATTTGAAGTAATTATTAAATCAAATTATTATATTTTTTAATATATAATATAAATATTTTTAATTTTTGTTATTATATATACAAAATATAAAATTTTAAATATATTTTTATATAGGATATGAAAAGTGGTTTACTTGAGGAAGGTGAAGCCACATTACGAATGAAAGTAACATTAGAAGAAGGTAAACAAGATCCAGTTGCATATAGAATAAAATATACTCCACATCATAGAACAGGAAATCAATGGTGTATTTATCCAACTTATGATTTTACTCATTGTTTATGTGACAGTATAGAGAATATAACTCATTCTCTTTGTACAAAAGAATTTCAATCAAGAAGATCATCATATTATTGGCTTTGTAATGCTTTAGATATTTATTGTCCCGTGCAATGGGAATATGGTAGATTAAATATTAGTTATACAGTTGTTTCTAAAAGGAAAATTAGTAAATTGATTGAAGAAGGCATTGTATCAGATTGGGATGATCCAAGGTATATTTTAATAAAATTGTACAGATATAATATTATATAAATGTTATGATATTAATATTTAAAATAATGAATTTTTAATTTATTGTATTTGTATGTTTTATTTTCAGATTATTTACATTAACAGCTCTTCGTAGACGAGGTTTCCCACCTGAAGCTATAAATAATTTTTGTGCACAAATGGGTGTAACTGGTGCTCAAGTAATTGTTGATCCAGCTGCTTTAGAAGCATGTGTTAGAGATGTCTTAAATATAACTGCAAGTCGACACATGGTAGTTTTAGATCCATTAAAAATAACTATTAGCAATTTTTCTTACGAAAAATCCATAAAAGTAACAGTTCCTAACTTTCCTAATGATCCAGAGAAAGGCAAACATGAAATTGATTTTGATGAAATTGTATATATTGAAACATCTGATTTCAAAGAGGTATATAGTATTTAATTCAATTATACGGATTAATAAGTATTTTTATTATTTTATTAAAAATGTTATACATTTATAGAAAGCAGAAAAAGATTTTAGACGTTTAACACCAAATCAATCCGTTGGTTTAAAACATGTAGGAATAGTATTAACAATCAAGGAAATTGAAAGAGATAGTACTGGTAATATTATAAATCTCATAGTCAAACAAGAATCTATTTCTGAAACTAATAAACCTAAAGCTTTTATACATTGGGTATCAAATCCTGTATTGGCATCCATTAGATTATATGAACGTTTGTAAGTATTAATTTAATGTAATAAAATAATAATAATTTATCATTTATATAAATAATTTTTTATTTATTTGTGATAATTTTCAGATTTAAACATAAAAATCCTGAAGATATTAATGAAGTACCAAATGGCTTTTTAAGTGATATTAATTCAATCACTAAAAAAGAAATTGTTGGATATATTGATAAAAGTTTAGCAAATTCGGCAAAAAATTTTGAAAAATATCAGTTCGAACGTATAGGTTTTTTTTCTGTAGATCCTGATACGCTACCGGGAAAGGTAATTGAAATTTAAATTAAAATAGTGTTATTATTACTGATTTTATTTATCTTTTCCAGCTTGTTTTTAACAGAACTGTAACATTAAAAGAAGATGCAGGAAAAATATAAATAGAATTATTACATTTACAGTTTGATGGATTTATCATCAATTTTTATAATATTTTGTTATGATATTTGTAAAATAATAATTTAAAAAATTATTAGATAATTAATGAATAAATAAAAAGCTATTTAATTCATCATGCAAGATTCATATGTAGGAATCATATACTTAATATTTATAAAGGCATCTTCACCTCCATATATTTCAAGTAATTCAAGAGTTTCTTGTATTATATCTGCAACATTTTCACCCTTCTGTTGTGCATAATCAATACCTTCTCCAAGATTCACTAAAATATCAATTTTAATTTTTAATATTTTTATATAAAATTATAAAAGTACATTAAAATCTTACCGTTCCTATCTTTTAATAAATTAAGAACTGGTAAGATTTGTCTAAAATATGGTACTAAAGCTTCTCCAACACAATCTGCCGAGCGTACAAGATTTTGAAGAGTTTTCAGTGTTGTACATAAAACTTCTGGTACTTTTGTATTTAAAGCTTCTACAATATATATAAATTATATATAATTATAAATAAATTATATAATAAAAAATATAAATAATAAAAAATAGAATAAAAAAATGGAAAAATGGAATACCTACTTTTAATAGGAATTATTAATTGTGGTACAACGGGTAAAATTTTAGGTCCGCCATGTTCTAACATATCAGATATTCCTTGTTCTACTATGAATTTAAGCGGTTGTTCAGTTTCGGTTAAGCCATCAAAAAATAAGGGTAAATAGTGATGGAAATCTAAATCTTCGATGTTCACTTTCCAATTAAGTTTTAAACCATACAAATCTTTTTCCAATGCAATTGGAAATACATTCCATTCATAAAATTTCCGAAAAGTTGATGGTTTGGCTGGTTGAGGTTTATATAATTCATAGCGAGGAGGTTTTGCAACTACAGTATTTTCCTATATTACAAAGAAATATTAATTTGTATAAATTTAATTTTTAGAATATTGAAATATTATGTTACCTGTAGAGCTTGAATAGTGAAAGCAGGAACAACTCTGGGTTTTCTTTTTTTACGTTCTGATATATCTTTTCGAATTTCTTTCCAAAATTTAGTTTCATTTACCATTCCGATACTTTTTTTTAATAATATTCAATCAAAAAAAATATTTCAAAATTCGAAATGTTATAGAATATATATATAAATGAATATAATTTTATTTATTAAAAAGATACCAAAATTTTATATTGATAATTCGTCAGTACCTAATATCACTGAATCGTTTTAGCCAGCAACTGAAAATATGGATTTAACACGTTTCTTAGCAACTATTATAGCTTATTAATCAACTATTATAAATAATAACACATGTACATCTATTTAAAAGTTATTTTTATCTTAAAATTAAATTTATCTTAAATTTTATCTTAAAACATACATAAATTTTAAATGAAATATACTAAGAAATATAAAAATGTTAAAGTTCCATTAATATACATCTCTTCATTTTATGTACATTAAATACTTTGGTAAAGAATAAATAACAATTATTTATGATTTTGTTGTAGATTTTATAATTTTCTTGAATTGTAGATCATCAAATATCAAATCCCTTTTTTTTGGTTCATCTTTATCAGCTGTATATTTTTAATAAGAAAAATAATAAAAATAATGTATTAAAAATGATTAATATATAAAATTAAAAATTGAATAATTTTTTTGAATTTGAAAAAATAAATTTGAAAAGGATATTTGTGAAGCAATTTGAAAATTCCTGTTCCTACAGGTACTGGAATACCCATTATAATTGATTCAGAAACTCCGCAAATAACATCTTTTTGTCCATAATAAGCTGCATCAAATAAGTGATCAGATGTCTTTTCAAACTGTTAAATAATTATTTATATTAGTATTTTTCCATAACAAAGGAGATGTAATAAAAAATACTTACTGAAGCTAAATTTAAGACAGATTCCTTCATTTTAGCTAAACCTTGTCTTGTAATACCTAATACTTCTCCCCTACTAGTCATTAGATCTGCTACAAGCATTGGATGTCTTCGATCAATACTCATTCCATGATTTTCCATGACCAATTTAATTTCTGTCATTATAGTTGCTCTTGCAGCCTCAATTCCTAAAGTTTTAAAAACCTGAAACATTATATAATGTATATATAATTCATAGATATATAAAAATAGATTTTATATTTACTTCAATTGTATTATTTGAAGTTGTTTTTTTGCCAAGAACTCCAAGAGTTGCCATTACATCTCGCATATTGTCTCCTTCTACGAATAATTTATATTTTTTTTTACCACATGAATCATCATTATGAATTACAGCTCTAGAAACTGATGGTAAACCCTTAAATTGTATAAATGTAAGAATATATTAAATTTTTAAAATTAAAAATAATTTATAATATATATATTCGTTTTTTACTTTGTATACCTTTATAACAATATTTGGAATCAATTCTTTAAGCTGTGTAAGAGCATAATTTAAACTATATTTATTTTTGCTTGGATTCACAGTAATAATAGAATCTCCTCTAACATTTACCAATTTTGGATTTAGTCTTAATTTTGATGTACAAATTCTACATAAATGTTATAATAATTAAATTTATTGGTATGCAACAGAAATAACACTTCTTTTTATATTATAAATATAAATTTATATACTTACGAATAGCGTATGGAATTGACATCTACTTCTAATTTCAATAATTTTATTCTATCAATATCTATTTTGATTAATAAGAAACAATCATCTGGAAGATAAACTTCTTCGATATATTCCGTTACTTCTCCTAAAATAGTTTTTTCAATCCTGCCTTTTACTCTTCTAGCATATTCCGGATCTGCATCATTTATCTAATACCAAAATGAATCATAGAAATGAAAAATAATATATTTATATAAATGCTATTTAATTAATTAAATAATATCTTTTCATATAAATAGAATTTTAAATAAATATAACAAAACTTACTAAAGCAGCAGTAATAATTGGAGTACTAATTTTGGGACTTGCATTAATAATTTCTTTAATACGCGGTACACCTTGAGTAATATTCATAGACGCTACACCGGCGAAATGGAAAGTTTTTAATGTCATTTGTGTTCCTGGTTCTCCAATACTTTGTGCAGCAAGTGCACCTACAGCAGTACCTGGTTCTATCTTTGCTCTCATGTACTTTTCTTTACAAGTATGAATAAATTCAACTAACTGAGAAACTGTGAGTCGTTCAAGTTGTAAAATTACAGGTACATTTAATATCGCATTATGTCGAAGACGTGCTATTTTACGTGCTACAGTTTTAAGGAATGTGCTATAAGAAAAAGTAACATTTAATAATTATTTTTAATAGTATTAAAAAATGAAATAAATGATATTTACGATAATTCTTGTTTAAATTCTTCACTGAGACATTCATATTCCTCAGAATTTAGTAATTCATTTGTAGCTTTAATTACACTATGACCATCTAATGATTCTTCATTTTTACATGGAGATTTGGCTCTTACATGATCTAATATTCTCTTATAATCCACTGGACAATCTTTTCCTATTAAAATAATTATATAATTATTTTATTTTTGATATTATAAATAATATGTTACCTTCCATATATGTAGGATCTAGAGCATCTCCACCATATAATATTTGTACAATATCTCCTACTGAATTACGAACTGTCATATCATAATGAAGGCACAAATCTTCTAAACTCTTAACTAATCGTCGTTGCATGTAACCAGTTTCAGCAGTTTTAACTGCTGTATCTACAAGACCTTCTCTTCCACCCATTGTATGAAAAAAAAATTCCGTTGGTGTTAAACCAGAATAGAATGAATTTTCTACAAAACCTTTAGCTGCAGGAATTTTTGAATGTCTTTCAAAATGTGGTAAAGCTCTATCTTCAAATCCATTTGGAACTCTATGACCACTAATAGCTTGTTGTCCCACACATGCTATTAGAGTAAAAATATAAAAAAATATAAAAAAAATATTCTTGTAATTCTTATAAAAAATATATATGTAATAAACATACCAATCATTTGAGAAATATTAATAAAACTTCCTTTACTGCCAGATAATGCCATAATTAATGGACTATTACTTGGATGAAGTTCTTTTAAACATGCTTTACCAGCATGATCACGAATTACTGAAAGTTCCTTTAATATCATTGCTTCTAATGTTTCTTCTTCTGTACAACCAGGTTGACATATAAGACGTCCTTCTTCCATGTCTTGAATATATTCTGTACACTTAGAATATCTAAATCATAGTAATTAATAAATACATGATTTAAATATTTTTATTTATAAGTAAAATAAAATAATCTTTAAATTTAAACTTACCCTGCATTTAAAAGTTCTTGTTTAGCTTTAAGAAGTCCTTGACCAGGTGTAACATCACCAATACCAATTGAAAAACCTCTATTCATAAGGAAGAAACTTGCCATTCTTGCTAATCGCCACATAGCTATTGTTGCAATATCTTCACCCCAATCACGCAGCAAAATATAAAATATATTTTGTTTTGATCCCGAACCTAACGTTGATTTATCCATAGATCCTGCTAATAATTCTGAGTTCCGAATAATAACATCTGCAATTTATTATTTTCATTATTTTTTTTATTAACGAATAAATTATTAATAATAAGAACACATACAAGAATCATTAATACATAATTCCTCATTGGTAGTATAAGCTCTTCCTTTAGTTTTTAAATTAGCTTTAATGTTACAAGTATTATTAGGTTTTAAAATTAAACTAAAAATTGTTTTCCTGTCCATAATGTAGTCGGTTTTAAAATAGCTGGTTCAGGTAAATTTATAGACATAGTAATATCAGGTCCTGCTAGAAGACAACCAGCTAATTGACTTGCTTGAGTTTTATTTAAAAACATGTCCTTTTGAGTCAGAAGATATCCACCAGTAATAAAATCTTGTGTCGCAGCTATTAGTAGTTCTCCATTGCGAGGTGTAACTAAATTTGATTTATTCTGAAAAAAATATATAATATTATGATTTATATGTAAATAGTATATAATAATAAAGTTAAAAAAAAATAATTTGCATATTACCCCCATTAAAACTAGAGCTTCTGCTCTTGCTTCTTCAGTTTGAGGAACATGTAAATTCATTTCATCGCCGTCGAAGTCAGCATTATATGGAGTACAAACACATTCATTAAATCTAAATGTTCTATGATCTAATATTTTTGCTTTATGTGCCATAATGCTTAATTTATGTAATGATGGTTGTCTATTGAATAATACTACATCATCATCCCTCAGATGTCTTTCAACAATGTCACCATACTATTAAAAATAAAACATATTATTGATCATTCGTTTTTATATATAAAATATTGGATAGAAATTATGTATAAAGTATTGCAGATACATAAAATGATTTAAAGGAATGTTGAATTAAAGATAATATATTAGATAATTTCAAATATTCAATTCAAACATTTCTTTTTCATATTTCTTGTTAATGTTTTAAACTATTCATCATTTGCATCACTATTGCTCATCATATCTAAATCTTCATTCATTTAATAAAATTATTGTATATTATTGTATATTGTATATTATATTGTATATTATAATTATTATTATAATTGTAATATTTTAAAGATAAAATTACCTGTAAATCTTGAGCAATTTTTTGACGGTTACCATATCTTAAATATTTTTTGAATTGTGTTTTTCCTTGTTGTATAAAATTTGCTCCTGGATGTATATCAGGACCATTTCTTACAAGTTTTCGCATTAATTCTATGTTTGATGGATTAACTTTTTCAGGATATGTTAAAATTTTGGCAACATGAATAGGTACACCAACCTAATAAAAAAATATAAAATATGTAAATTTTAATGTTTAGAATAATATAAAATATATATAAAAAATTAATTATAAAAATATAAAATTTTACTTGTTCAATTCTAAGATTAGGATCTGGTGAAATAACAGTTCGACTAGAAAAATCTACACGTTTACCAGATAAGTTACCACGAAAACGACCTTGTTTTCCTTTTAATCTTTGAACCAATCCTCTTCCAGATTTTTTTGGCTAATCAAAATAATTTAATAATAAAATAAGGTCAAAATAGATAAAAATTTGTATCATTATTATAAAAAACTTACTTGCATATTGAGAGGTATACCAGACATTTCACTATTTATATAAAGGGCACAATGTAATTGTAGAAATTCCCAATCTTCACTATACATTTGTACTTTAGCTCCACTTTGTCTATGTTTCTGAATAACATCATTGATAAAAACTATTTCTGATAATTTCATTGTTAAATGATCTTCTGTTGTACCAGCTTTGATATCAGATACAACACTAGGTCTAATACAAATTGGTGGTACAGGAA